AATTGAAATTGGGGATTTGAATTGATTTTCACGAAATTGCTTGGATGTAGGGGTTGATCCTATGTAATCCGATAGAAAATTCGAAGTGTTCTGTTTTGAAATAGTTTGTAATGGCGGATAGGTACTTTGATTTATAATATTTAAAATGTCTAGAGAATTTGGTGATATTGATGAGCGTATATTTAAATTAACTCTAGGTGTTGTGAAAGTTCTGTTTCATCTGAGATGTTTTATTTGTCCATCTATTGTAGATGTTTGATTTTGGTTTCAGCTAAGATGTCTTGTTCTATTAAAGTCTTGTTGGAGAGGAGGATAGATGTTATATGTTGGTTCTTATTGTGGTTCGCTTAGTGGTGCACGGCGAACTACGGTAATTAAAGGTTCGGATAAAAATGCGTGCCTTCCTTCAAGTGTGCATAGGTTTTCTTAGAAAAACGCGTGTTGATGATTGGGATTGACTTAATTGACTAGACGTTGGTGTTGTTGGGAGTTCCTGGGATGTCGTAGTCGTTGGAGGTTGCTATGTTGGTTTTCGATTAGCTTTTTTGAAAGTTTCTAATTGTTTTTCTTTATGGGTATAAAATCTGTGTTGTTTATAAAATTCTTCTATAAAAATGATAACAAAAAATTATTGCTAATGCAAAGATGATTATTGCTTTTTTAATACATTTAATTTTATTAAAAATAGGGAAAGTAAAAATATTTGAACATTTTTTGAAAGAAGATGTTCATCTTTCTTGTTAATTGAATGTCTTAACACTTAGATATTTTTTGAAACATCGTACTTGAGGAGGTGGTCAAAAATTTTGAGAAAATGAGGTAGGCTTTGGCAAAGGAATGAAAACTTACAAAAAATGCAAAAAATTGTGAAGAGGAAGAGGAATAGTTTGACGGCGCCTACAATGAAAAATTTACTAGATTGAAAAAAAGACTGAAGAAGAAGTTTTAAAGATATTGTCTTGAGGAGTGGAACTGATTGAGAAAGAAGCATTTGAGAAATGATTCGGTTCGTCGAACATTTTTTTTTCCGAGTTGAAAAATGAATGTAGTCGGATTGTTTATTGATTTTTGATAAAGGGTTGAGTATGTGCAAATTTTGATTGAGGCAATGTGGAGGTCTATGAATAAGCTTCTTAATTATTTTTATTAAAGATTTGACTGGGGGTATTCAATAATTTTATGTATATTAGGCTAAATGATCATGTTTGATTTTTGCTTTAGGTTTTTTCAATAGTTTTCTTTGGGGACGTTTTGAGTGTAAGTTGAGACATTTGTTGATTTTCATAACTACTGAGTTTTATTTTTTTAGTTGACAAATATGAACATGATGCTGATTTTTGACCTGGAGGTCTCTTGTTTTTGGTTCCAGATATGTTTGATGTAAGCAAGGTCTCAGCTAATGGTGTCAAAATGAGTTGATGTTGAGCTAGTTTCTGATTGGCTGAGTTTGAAATAGTTGCTCAAGAGTGGTAGCATGAAAACTGAAAAAACTTTTTAATTTCTAAAATGATCAAAATGTTTACTGAATTGATAGAGGTTTTGGAGGTTCAACCTTTTTTTTTAGGTTTTAGACTGTGGGAAGAAAGCTTTGTAGTCTTTTCGCGGTTTATTTTGTAGTTTTGATGATTATCGTTTTGGTGATTTTTTTTTGGTTCTTTTAGTATAATTTTTTCATCAATTTCTTGATGAATTCTTTGTTTTTGAAGTTTTTGTTGAATAATTTTTTGAGAAGATTTTGATGTGTTGCTTTCGTCTCTTTAGTTTTTGAATCTATTATTTGTAAAAAACAATTTAAGACATGTTTTTCTTCATTTTTTGCATCTCAGTTGTCATGGACATTTTTTAGTCCTCTAATTGAGTATAGCTGTGTTAGTTCGCGAAGAGCGTGTTTTTTTGGGTAATTTGGCAAAAGATTATTTCGGTGTTGAACTATTTCTTTTTTATTTGAGTCAGGGGTTTGTATGTTACATTAGTGGGTTTGTCATCAAATTGAAACGGTCGTTTTCGGATTGGCTGTAGTTTTTTACATATATACTTTTTTTGTGTTATAATATCAGGTCTTATTACATATATCTTGCACAAAGTATTTTTGATACTGCTAATGCAAGTGATTGTAGGTTTTGTGTTCGTTCACACTCGCAAAAAGGATGTAGTGTTTCTGGTTCTGATAATGGCATTTGTTGAAAAGTTATGCTCTTCGTATCATGTAATTCCCTTTCTGAGTGCATTACAGAACGAATTGCGCCCAAAATTATGGTTCATTAGTGATAGTTCTAGTAAACGTGTGCTGCCTTTATCTTGTGGAAGAAGTTTTTCATCAACATTTACGTTTTTCAGAAATGTTACTGGGATGTATGAGTTTTTGTCGCTATAACTTGTGTGAGTCTGAGTTGTGTTAATGATTAACTTTCCACTTTTCTTGTCATAATGTTTTTCGTATTCGACAAGTACTTTTGAACATTGTGTTTTATACAGTGGTCTTTTGTATTTGCGGGCGACTTCAGTTTCGGGATAAACTTGAAGATGTGTTAAATTATTTTCTTTTCTGTCGATGGTTTTGTTTTGTTGATTGTTAAACCTTATTTTAGCAGGGCTCAATTTATCAAAAAGAATATTTTCGAAAAAATATATTCTGATGAAAGTTTAATATTCTTGCGTGGATTTTTGCAAATTGAAATGTGGTATATATGTCTTCAGGGAAGCAAACGATGATTGCCTGTGGGCGTGTAGTAGGATCGCAATAACATTGGTCGCTTTTACACCGTAAGCGTATTGCTTAAAATAATATCTCGTGTTTGTTGTACTTTTTCTTGTCGATATCTTCAATTAAAAAACGAAAATAATTCCTGATGTCCTTTATTTTTTGTGTCTAAAGTGAAAATTGAAGGGTTTTTTATTCGAACCTAGGATATTCAAGTTTCATTGTGTAAATCATATGTTAAACGTCCGTGTGCGCCGTGGATGTGGTATTTATTTCTAACTTTTATATGTTCATGATATCTTTCTAGTTCGGCTTGTTGTGCTGAGTCAGGAAAAACTTGAAAATTTACCAATTTTCGATTTGTGCATTTCTGCTTTCATTTCTGGCTAGTTTTAAACGTCTCAATTCAATTTTACAATCGTCTGGATTTAGAGGTAGAAGTCTTTCAATATTGTTTTATCAAAACGATTCGTGATCGAGTCTATTTTTGTTTCAGTTTGAGACTTGTGAGCAATGTAATTTTTTCTCTGATAAGTTTGCTGTGATTTTTTGTTTTGTTAGGGTTGTAGCTCGGCCTTTTGGATAGGGTGATGCTACTATACAAATGGTTTTTAAATTGTGTGGTTCCGATTCGCTTTGAGTTTCTTGAGTTTTTGCGAACTTGAATATTGTTTTTTGGTCATTTTCTTTGCAATCGTAATGCGTAATCAATACGTCTTGTGGGCCTGTTCGGGGAGGGGAGGATTTTTATGTGATGTTGGTTCTCAAAAAACAAAGATAAAAAGGATGAGATGAGAAATTATTATCAAATTATTACGTGTGTGTGATAGTCCTGAAAATGGATTATAGAATTTTATGTATCCAAGTGTCTTTTTTATATATCTATCGTGTTCGTAGATAAGTTCTGTTGCTATGAATGGGGGAGGTAACTATTGAGCTGTTATATTTGGTGGGGCTAGAGACAGAGGGTGATGCACTTAATTGTTTAATTTTACTGTGATTTCCAATTTGAAATTGTATATTAGTTTCCGGTATGTCTTTGTATTGTAATTTGTTGAGTGCCCTTTTATGTAATCTGTGGCTTTCAGGAGGTTGATCAGATAAGTGAGGGGTTGCTACGAATGTAATCCAATCTAATCGTAGAGGTGTATCATTACTTACAAGTTATCTGTATCTATCCTCTAAACTTGTAGGGAAATTTATTAAAATGGTGTAGTTGGAGTTTGACTCATTGCTGAAGGTGTTGAAGGTAGTGATAGGGTTTTTGGTAGTGACAAGGATGTATCTAATGGATATCTGATGGGTCTCTTACCAAGTTTGGTTCACCTTGTGTGAAATATTGTGTCATCCAATGTAGGAGACGTTGGGTTGAAGTTGGGGAATTGAATGGATTTTCACGAATTTGCTTGGATGTAGGGGTTGATCCTATGTAATCCGATAGAAAATTCGGAGTGTTCTAATTTGAAATAGTTTGTAATGGCGGAGAGGTACTTTGAATTATACTATTTAAAATGTCTAGAGAATTTAATGATATTGATGAGCGTATATTTAAATTAACTCTAGGTGTTGTGAAAGTTCTGTTTCATCTGAGATGTTTTATTTGTCCATCTATTGTAGATGTTTGATTTTGGTTTCAGCTAAGATGTCTTGTTCTATTAGGGTCTTGTTGGAGAGGAGGATAGATGTTATATGTTGGTTCTTATTGTGGTTCGCTTAGGGGTGCACGGCGAACTACGGTAATTAAAGGTTCGGATAAAAATGCGTGCCTTCCTTCAAGTGTGCATAGGTTTTCTTGGAAAAACGCGTGTTGATGATTGGGATTGACTTAATTGACTAGACGTTGATGTTGTTGGGAGTTCCTGGGATGTCGTATTCGGTGGGGATTGCTATATTGGTTTTTGATTAGCTTTTTCGAAAGTTTCTAATTATTATTCTTTTAGGTATAATCTTCTTCTATGAAAATGACAACAAAAAATTTTGATAATGCAAATGTGATTGTTGCCTTTTTATTACATTTAATATTATTAAATTTAGGGAAAGTAAAAGATTGATTTTTTGGCAGACGAAGTACATCTTTCTTGTTAAATAAATGTCTTAGCATTTAGATAATTTTTGAAATATCGCACCCGAGGAGGTGGTCAAAGTTTTTTGAGAAAATGAGGTAGGCTTTGGCAAAGAAATGAAAATTTACAAAAAATGCAAAACATTGTGAAGAGGAGGAGTAATAATTCGACGGCGCCTACAATGAAAAAATTACTAAATTGAAAAAAGACTGAAAAGATTGAAGAAAGTTTAAAAATTTTGTCTTGAGGAGAAGAACTGACTGAGACAGAAGCGTTTGAGAAAAAATTCCGTTCGTCGAGTTTTTTTCCGAGTTGAAAAATGAATGAGGTCAGATTGTTTATTGATTGTGACAAAGTGTTGAGTATGGGCAATTTTTGATTGAGGCAAGTGTGGAGGTCTTTTAATGAGCTTCCTAATTTAGTTTTTATTAATGATTTGACTGGGGGTATTCAGTAATTTTATGTATTTTAGGCTAAATGATCATGTCTGATTTTTGCTGTAGGCTTTTCA